AATAGACGTGGAGAAGTTGTTTCTTCTTGCAGGAAAATCTAGAACCAGAGGGTGTAATTTCAAAATTAAAGGTCCACCACCTTTGAAGATAGATGAGGAGGAGTTTTTCTGAGGGTAATGAATCTATGGAATTCTTTACCACAGAGGGCTGTCAAGGCTGAGAAGTATATTCAAGGCTATGATAGATTTTTAATCAGTAAGGGAATCGAGTGTTATAGGGAAAAGATAGAAAAGTGGAGTTGAGGATGATCAGATCTGCTAAAATTTCATTAAATCATAGAGCAGATTCAATGGTCTGAATGACCTACTTCTGCTTCTCCATGTTGTGATCGCAAATAAACGAGGAGATATTCAGAGAAGGGAAAACAAACCCGATAACCTTAGTAGTTCTGATAGCATCTGTGCAGAGGGAAAAACTGCATCAATACTCAAATATTGGACTTGGTGTTAATTGTTTCTGTCCACAGACACTGCCAAATGTGTTGTATTTCTTGTTACGGAGGGGGAATAGCCGAACCCCTCTGATAGTTAAGCCAAAACACAAACCACAATCTGCTATGACGGGATTAGAGGTTCCCTTCTAATAATTAGCCTTTCCCCTTACAATCTATTAACAGAGTGGTTAAAAGAAAGAAAATCCCTGATTTTCACTTTACAAGTAACAAGAAACAATTTATTTATTTAACCCAACAATGAACAAATTAACAGAATTACTAACAAACTGACAATTCCCCCCTTAGACTACTAACTACTTCCTAACTGGTCTAAATTCTATTGGAATACAGTTCAAATAAACAAGTCTCACTTATATAAACCCAATTAATAAGACAACAATAAATTACAAATTAATCTCTCTAAACATGCACAGACTGTGTATCTTCTGGAACTCTGCGCAAATGCCTTTCTTTTGCGAAGCCTGCTGTTAGAAAGGTTTCCCTGCAATTTTGTTGGAGAGGTCTGTAATGTAAACTGCCATGGTACTTTGGGTCTTTTTGGAGAGCTTAGGAGTTTGAGAGAGCCAGGCTTAAACCTCTTTTTGCTGCAGCCGAACGTTCACTCACTTTTTCGGATGGCAATTAGCTCTCTGCCAATTTTCAAAAAAATGCTTTCTTAAATACCACAGATGATGTAGCAAATTCTCACAATATGATTGGGCTCAGGCTGTCAACACCATCCGTTTTTAAATTTAATTGGCTTTGAACTGCTGAGTGTTTGGTTTAAATTAGTTGGCCAAATTCAAACTTATCGTCAAAACATCAAAACAAACTTAAGGTATCCATCAACAAAGCCAATTGTTACATGTTTCCATTTTAGAACTGTCTGTACTGTTGCCCATGTGCTCACAGACCTCTTTGTTTTACTCTGAGCTTAAAAACACTATCCTTCTTAAAGGGACCACACTTTGCTTTTTAATTCACGATTATTCTACCCAGCTTCATAGCACTCACGTCTTAAGAGAAAAAAAACATCGTTATGAAAAGAGGTAGTAGGAACTGCCGATGCTGGAGAATCTGAGATAACACGGTGTAGAGCTGGATGAACACAGCAGGCCGAGCAGGAAAGCTGACGTTTCTGAAGAAGGGTCTTGACCCGAAACGTCAGCTTTCCTGCTCCTCTGATGCTGCTTGGCCTGCTGTGTTCATCCAGCTCTACACCGTGTTATCTCATCATTATGAAAAGATGGCTTCATTTTTTTTAAAATCTTTAACACTATTATCATGAAGTACGTAATTCAGTTCTCTAAAGTTATAGCTTTCATACTAATTTTACATATATGTAGAACACTGGATTGTGTTAGTTCTATCTTATCTATGCATTTTCTTTAAACCCATAAAAATGTTGCAGATGCATTATCATGACCTGCAACATGTACAGTATGTAAGTGAAAAGCCTGTAACATAAGATTCCAACAAAATAGTCTCATATTTTTGTCGATAAATTTTTCCAAGAAGGTGAGAGGGTGGTGGTCTGTATACTCAACCGTCTGCAAAATATTGTTCATAACATAAACATTAAAATGTTGTAAGGTCAGTACCAAACTCAATAATTCTTTTTCAACAGTGGAGTAATTTCTCTGATGAATATTGAGTTTCTTTGAAAAAATATCCAATTGTCCTTTCAATTCCACCATCATCCTCCTGCATCAACACAGCTCCAACCCCTATATCTCTGGCATCGATAGCGACTTTAAAGGGTTTCAAGAAATTTGGTGTAGTTGAAACTGGTGCAATTTAAATTCTGAAATGCCCTCCTGGCATTGTTCTGTCCACTGAAATTTTGTGTTCTTCCTTAGCAAATCTGTAAGCGGTGCCACCATGCTACTAGTTTGTGCAAACGTTCGGTAGAATCCACTTGGTCCTAAAACTTGAAGCACCTCTTTCTTTGAGGATGGTCTTGGAAATTCCTCTGGCCTTCATTGCGTTCCTTCCATGATCGATGTTATGTCCTAAAAACATCACTTCTGCCTTCACAAATTCAGTTTTTGCTAAGTTTATAACCAGTTTTGCCTCCCATAATCTTTCAAAGAGCTCTGCCAAATGCACCGTGTGATCTTTCTATGAATGGCTAAAGACCACGATGTCATCTATATTGATGGCACAATTATTCAATCCTGCCACAACTCTGTTCATAAGCCTTTGAAATATGGCGGGTACATTTCTTCGCCCCAAAGAGCATTACTTTAAATTGATGTAGTCCATCTGGGGTTACAAACGCAGAAACGTCCTTTGCTGTCTCTGACAAAGGTACTTGCCAGTAACCACAGAGTAAGTCCAACTTGGTGATATAAGTGACTTGTCCAACATTTTCCACATACCCAATCCCAAGGCTGGAGGACTATGAGTCTGATTTAGTTACGGCGTTGACCTTCCGGTAATCCACACAGAACCACTGGGTGCCATCAGGCTTTGGAACAACACAATCGTTGAGCTCTATTCACTTTGATTTGGCTCAGTGACATCTTCTTGGAGCATTGCTTCTACTTCCTTCTACACGTGTGCAGCTTTAAGAGGTTTAAAGGGGTGTTGTTTTATCAGAACAGCATTCCCTACTTCAACTTCGTGCACTCTAGTACTAGTCCTTCCCATTCTATTCCCACGTATGTCCTCCTATTTCTGCAAGAAACCTTTCAATTCAGTCCTCTGTTCCTGAGACAGAGAGCTCACTATTCTATCCTATTCTCTAATGAATTATTTAACTTCCTTTGAGGCACGTCAAGATCAAATGATTCCGATTCTGATTCCTCACTCTGAGGGGTAGTAACTAATACCTGTTTCTCTGGTTCCCTGTCTATATATTAGTAGGGTTTTAGTATGTTCACATGACATACCTGATAAAGTTTTTCTTTATGGCATTACCATATAATTCATCTGACTCAACTTCTCAATCTGATAGGGACCACTAAACCTTGCTTTGAAGGGATCTCCTACAACTAGTAACAGCACTAATACTTTATCCCCATGGGCAAATGTCCAAGTTTTAGATTTCTTATCTGCTTCTTGCTTCATTAGATATTGTGCCACCTTCAGATGTTTTCTAGCTAATTCACTGACTCTGCTTAATCTTTCTTTCAACTCAGGTTCATAATCCAATTGTGAAATCTCTGACTTCGGTCCTATCAACTTTTCCTTAATTAATTTTAAAGGCCCCCTTTATGTCTGAACATCAACTCGTGGAGTAAACTGAGTCTATTCATTTAAGGCATCTCTGATGGCAAACAATATAAATGGGATACCTTTATCGCATCTGCTCACAGACCTCTTCTCTGTTTAATTCTTAAGCTTAAAAACCCTTTACCTCTTAAAGGGACCACACTTTGCCTTTTAATTCACGATTATTCTACCTAGCTTTGTAACATTCTGTAGCATTTTGTTTCTATTTCAGATCTCCAACTATGCATTATTTTGCTTATGAATGAAAGAAGTGACTTGGTTAAGTTTTATTTCATTGATTCTTTCATGAGATGCTGACATGACTGGCAAGGTCAGCATTTGTTGGCCATCTTCAATTATCCTTGAACCAAGTGGCTTATTAGGCCACTGTAGAGGATGTTTTAAGAATCAACCCCATTGCTGTAGTCCGGACTTGTGTCTTGGTCAGGCCAGGTAATAATGGAGATATCCTTCTTTAAAAGGTGTGAGAGAGCAAGATGGGTTTTATTACAATTGACAATAGTTTCATGCTCAACACTACTGAGACTAACTTTATATTCCAAGTTTTATTAATTGAATTCAAATTCCACCAGCTATTTTAGTTGAATTTGAGCCCATTAGCTAATTAGCTGGTTCTCTAGATTATTAATCAAGTGACATTGCCACTATGCTATCATCTCCTCTGAGGATCTTGGAGGAAGGTAGAGCTATAAAACGTAGCACATAGAAAATAGGAACAAAAGTAGGTCATTAAGTCTGTCATTCAATGATTATGTTTGCTTCTGTATCTCAAAGCTATACTCCTGCTGTCCCCCCATATCCATTGATGTGTTTAAAGTCTAGAAATCTGTCCATTTCTTTCTTAAATTCAGTGACTTGGCCTCTACCACCTTATGTGGTAGAGAATTTCAAAGCTTCACCAACCTTCGAGTGAAGAAATTTATCTTCATTCCTAAGTGGTCTATACTATATCCTCTGATCTTGATTATGTCCCCTTCTTCTAAACCTTCTTGTCAAGAAGAACATCATCCCAACACCTGTTTTCTGTAGTGCTGATGGTCGTTAACTCAAAATGATTAGTCTTGAATCCTCCTAGAATCACTTTACAAATAGCTTTAAAGTTATTTAAGGTAGTAATAAAAATGCTAAAGCCAAATTAGCAATATTTCTTGGCCATACTTTCAAATTCATGCAAGCCCAAATACAACTTTTCTCTGATTTCTGAAATGAGTATTCTTCTCCTTAGATATTTGTTGCTAGAACAGGGAACAAAAAAAGTTTCACAACTAACTATGGTGAAGAAAATATATATTGTTGGTAATTAACTAATAAATAATGCTCAACTTCCAGGAAAAAAGACGTGGCAGGGGAATCCATGGAGGGAAAAAGAGTGGCCGAGGTCACAAAGGGCAGACCCAGCGTGGAAATCGGCCACGATTAGGATTTGAAGGTGGACAGACTCCATTTTATATTGTTATTCCAAAATATGGATACAATGAGGGGCACAGGTTGGTTGAAAAAAAATAATTTTATTGACTATGCAGTGGTCATCCACATTACAAACTATTGGTATGCTATATTTTGGAAACGTGATTTTCATGGAAGACGTACATGCATTTCATTATACATGTAATGTACAATGGGATCATGCATATTTAAGTATTTTACGTAAATATATATCTATAAATACCTACCTGGGTTCATGTGTATTGATAACCTTACTGTGTACATGCTTATACATGTCAATGCCAGCATGTATCTGATTACATGTATATCAGTGCATACATAAGTGATTGCATGTGTGTATTTGTGCACATGCATATGTACCTACCTGCTGCATACGCATGCTTGTTGCACACTTGTGCTTGTTTGCAAGTGGCTGGGTATACAGTAATTCGTCTGTATCTACGAGGGTCCTGTTCCTGAGAGTCCCTGCGAATGATGAAATTTGCAAGCGCGGAGCTTGTTTGTAAAAAGGCTAAAAATCGCAGATACACAATTTTTGCCCACGTATGTTGAATTTTGTTGCTGCTTACTACTTGATGTATATAGGCAAATTAGCCATTCGTGATTTTGCAGGTACAGATAGTCACGTGTGTATGCACATACAAATATGTGCATAGGAACAGATAGTCATATCTATTTATATGTACATATGCATTCATATCATTATGTTCTAGTCTCTGTGCTGACCTTTGCCATGGAGCCTGGAATAAGAAGAGAGAGATGCTGTAAAGAGATAGCAGTGTAGTCAATGAAAGGTAACGGAGGAGGAAAAGGGAAGGCAAAAGGCTGAAGGGGAGAAACAGCTTGGAAAAAAGAAAATCCACATTCCATATCAGCAGTCAGTAGTCATTAGACAGTCTGTAAGTCAGTCTGTGGTCGATGAGGGGTTGTATGAATTTTTGAGCTTTATCCTTGCTCTCATGTCCTCCATCTTACTGTTCTGTTATTTGTTCTTGGAGCATGTATATTACGTGGTTTGTGTGATGCATCTCAATGCATTCTTGGGTGTTGATAATAGACTACCCAAGTTTCACAGTTTTTAGATGAATTTCAGGAATATGATAGCCTTGTAGCCTGCAACCTTTGTATTGTCTGAAGATGATGTTAAATGAAGACTTGATTGAGAAGCTTCCCAAAGAAGGAGCTCCCTCACTGGATTCGGTGATGCTGGGGTTCTGCTGCAAGTTCCAGTTTTGGCTGATTATTCAGATGAAACACCGGAGCTTGATAAGTTTGGGCAAAAACACCAAGGGTTGTTTTCTGTATCCTATGCAGGCGTATTTTGGCCGTAACATTTGATAGAACTCTCATTTCTGAATCACAAAGTTCATAATGCTGGGGTCCTAAGGCCCATTCCACAAATATGCAATTGGTCATTTTTGTGCTGTTGCTGCTAATCCCACTGTATGACAATTGCCTGTCTTGTCAATGCAGAAAACATACTGTAAAGCATTATGGACTTTCTAAACTTGTGAAATGCACTGTTTGAATGTGTAATTTCATGAACAGACAGAGAGGAAAGTGGAGTTTAAACCACAATGAGATCAGCCATGATATTATCCGATGGTAAAACAGCCTCAAGGGACTGAATGGTTTACTCTTGTTTCTAATTGTTATGTACTTGTTTGTATATCTGCGTACCTACGTATAATGGGTATTGATTTGCATTGAAGAACAGATGATCTATACCGGAATTGTCATTTCTTGTACAATATTTTAAAAACAAAATATTCTTAACTTAAATTTCTTCTCTCCAGTTATCGACGACAATACCAACCACTAAGTCTGAATCGACTTCAGTATTTGATAGATCTGGGTAGAATGGATCCCAGTGAACCTATTGATCTGACCCAGTTAGTGAATGCGAGAGGAGTTACTGTCCAGCCACTCAAACGTGACTACGGAATCCAGCTAGTAGAGGAGGTAATATAAACCAGCATTGTTCTGTGTTAATGGCACAAAGTCACAACTCTATTTCTCAAGTAGGGTCAGCAATTTTCCAGTTGTTGCTTTGTTATTTCAGGAAATCTGTCTTTATATGGAAACAATAAGAAACAAATCTGCCACGTTTTTAAAATTTGGGCAGATCTACGGATAGTATCTAAGTGGTTAGCACTGCTGCCCCACAGTTCTAGGGACCCGTGTTCGATTCCAGTCTGTCTGTGTGGAGTTTGCAGGTTCTCCCCGTGTCTGCATGGGTTTCCTCTGGGTGCTCCGTTTTTCTCCCACAGTCCAAAGATATGCAAGTTAGGTAGATTGACCTTGCTAAAAGAAAGTTACCCCATAGTGTCTAGAGATGTTCAGGTTACGTGTATTAGCCATGGTAAAAATGAGAACAGCTTGGCACCAGACACAATAAGAGCAACTGAAGTTTAGTGAGAATATAAAATGGGAATCAATCCAGGAGACCATTAAAATACTCAACTTTATAGCTTAGGGGAAGTTTCTGCAATTTTTTAATTATGTAACTTCTTTATTAACTGTTTTGTTCTCCTTGCTAACATATGAACAGCGTAAGCTAAACAAAACCATTTGTTTTGTTTTGGACAGTTGTTTCTTTTACTGCCATTAGATGGAAGCAAATGCAAAGTATTTTGTGAAATTGTAGACTATTCCTCTAGGAGGTTCTTTATAGTTTATCAAGAATATTAGGAATTGAGAAATCTGTTTGTATTCACAAAGGCAGTTGTTAATGTAACATTTTTATATAGATTACTACAAAATATGTCCACAGGTATAAACCAATAATTTATTACATTGATGGAAGTTACAAGATCTACTACAATCCCCACAGCTCTTGCTTAATTTGTTATAGGGTGCTGACAACTTCGTAGCAAAAGTAAACATTGAAGTCCAGTGGGCATCAGAACTTGCTATAGCTGCAATTGAAAAGAGTGGTGGAATTATAACCACAGGGTTCTATGATCCACGGAGTCTGGGTAAGCATCATTCTATTTACTAACGATTAGTGCATATAATTGTTTAAATCAGTCTTTCGCTGTGTCTGGCACCATCTGTGGAGAGAAAGCAGAGATAACGTTTTGAGTCCAGTGACCCTTCCACTCCTGCTCAGTTTCTCCAGCAGTATCTGTTTTTGTTTCAAATTTCCAGCATCCACAGTTCTTTGTTTTATTTAAGATTCTTTCACTGTTGAGATCATCTAAAAACTTTTTCGCTCTAATGCTTTATGCTGTTGATTCTTTGGCCTAGAAATTTGCAAATTTCATGCTTAATTTTCAGGATTTTAAAGATGCTTGAACATCAGATGTGGAAAGTTGAAAGCATGCTTGGAATAATTTTTAGTCTTGCAAAGGCAAACTTGGTGCCTAATGCATGTTGAGGTTCTCTATGCAAACTTACATGAATGCAGCCAGTTTATATACTTATCAAAAAATCCAAATGCCCTGTATAATTTCGTAGTAGGAATAGGTGTAATGCACTAAACTGCTCACAATTGGCGCTAAAGTGACGGACTTAGCATGACTGAGATTTGCGCAAGATGAGTAAGTATGCAGCATTACTGATCAACAGAAAATGGGAGGTCAAATGTAAGCATATAGAATGTTATTGGAAGGAAGTGATTGTAACAGGTATGATTTACACAGCCATTCATGGATTTTAGCAATAAACTTATGGATTTAAAAATCTGAACTGGTATCAAAAAAATTATGTATCAGCATGGTTAACCATTTAGCAATGTTTCTGCATTTCAACAGATGTTTTATGTAAGCCAGTGCCCTTTTTTCTCAGAGGACAACCCATTCCAAAACGTATGCTTCCACCTGAAGAACTGGTTCCTTACTATACAGATGCACAAAATCGTGGTTATTTAGCAGATCCAGCAAAAATTCAAGAAGCACGGATGGCACTTGCTAAGAAATATGGCTATACTCTACCGGACATTACTAAAGATGAGATGTACAGCGTTTTAATGATGCGTAAGGATCCTCGACAAATTTTCTTTGGGCTTTCTCCTGGGTGGGTGGTAAACTTGTCTGAAAAGAAAATTTTAAAACCAACTGATGAAGACCTGTGTAGTTACTATAGTTCTTGAAGCTGATAATGATGTAGTTGTAAATTAAAAGTCAATGATTATTTGCCAATGTGAGCTAAATTATGAATTAAAAGACTTTTTTGTTTTAAAATTCCTGGGTTATTTATTTGAGTTGAATTTTTCTGTTGAGTTTAAGTAGTTACTGGCATTATATGTTAAAATTTAGCTAGTAACTGGTGATACTGCTCATGGTGATTTGGAAGGTATACTGTTGTTCTATGGTTTAATGTACAATATGTTTTACATTGTATCCTTCTGTGCTTCTGCTCTTGGAGAAAAATTAAAATAAATTAATTTTTAATCCTTAGAGTGTATTGTTTTCTACTCATCTATTGTTTGTTCATTTTGTATTCTTTCTTTCGCTCTTTTTATGACTCTGATATGTTTCTCTTTTTTTCTATTGCTTGTGTAAGTTCTTTCCTTTACTGTGTCACTTCTGTATTTCTCTTAATTCGCCTGTATGATTCTGACGCTTTACTTGTAGTCCAGTTCCACGTGTTGTTTTTTACAGCTTAAGATGTACACGACTTAAAACCAAGAAGACGCTAAGAAATCACAACTAGAATTTAAGACCAGAAAGAATTGGTACAGGATGTAAATACCATGCAGTAGTGTTTGGGTTTTAAGGGATTAATTTTGGTTGAGGTGTGAGAACTGGTGCTAAGTGGTTGCCTTATCAAAAAGGCAAACTTGATTGGAATTTGGTGGTGAATTATTGATTAGCTGCATGTCTGGGCAATAAACTAGCCCCTAAACTATTGATGAGGCAAATCCCTGAAGCCTGTTGTTTCATGGTACTGAGCATTAGTAACAGGTTCTGATCCATCCCACTGGATCGGAGATGCCAATACAAATTCACCTTCACGTTTCAAGGCCAGCAGTACACCTGGACCTGTCTCTCTTCGGGATTCCGTAACTCTCCATCTTCCATTAAGGGTTGATCTTCCATTAAGGGTTGTTCCAGGTCCTAGAAATATTTTCAAAGCCAAAATGTCTAATACAATATGTAGATGACCTGTCACTACAGGTAGTTACTAGACAGGAACACCTTGCGTTACTGACAGAATTATTCACCCTATTAGCCAAACTATGACTGGGGGTCAACCCTAAAAAAGCCTAAATTATGAAGACACCGGTCTCATACTTAGGAACCACCATTACCTGTGGGAAACATGAGATTCAACAGAAGCACATTGGGACTGCATTACCTCTGCCAAAAACTCAGCCCACTGTGCTGTTTTCTAGGACTCGGAGTAATATTAAAACCATATTGACTATTTCATTACAAAGTATACGCCCTGATCCCAAATCTTAAGGACACACATGGAACTGAACAGAACAACATGTAAACACCATTTTAAAACTAAAGCAAAGCTTAGCACAGGCACCAGCCTTGTGAATCCCAGATCTTGAATTACTCTTTGCACTAGAGGTAGTACCACTGACATTCTCTGTAGCCATAACCTCGTATTCTTTGCTCTATTCTATTACCCTAATGCACTCTATGATATGATCTGCCTGTACTGCATGCAAAACAAAATGTTTTGCTCTACCTAGGTACAGTTGAGAATAATAAAGCCAATCAAATCAATGTTAAATGTATCCAAGTACACACCTCCTTGGCTCACAATTTCAACCACTGTGTTGATGCACACCAATGCCAAATTATAACTACCATCAATCCCAAAGGGCCACTTCTACCTAAATTAAAGCTGCAGCCATTAAAGCCTTTCATTGATGGGTCCTCCAGGATCAAGAATGGGACTAGGAACACAGGCTGTGACTTATGTGTTGAGGATCTTGGGAGAACCCCTGTAATGGAAATAGCTTTAAAGCTTCTCCAGCCATATGAGTGCTCAAGCTGTTGTGCTTGCTTCAATCACATATGTGGTAGCTGATCAGCAACAGTTCCTGCCATGGCTACCTACGGTAGACTTACCTGATGCTGCAGTTGGGTGGATGGGATCCTTTAGATCCACCATGTGAAATTTGTTAATTTTGGGTGTAATCATTAACTAATGGTGTAAATGAGCATAGGGATTACAGATGATTGATGGGATTTCTCTGAAAATGGGTACATGGCAGTGGGATGCCGAGTGCACAGCCTGGACAAAGGGTTAGAGTTTGGTTGACGATGCCCTGGAGGCGAGGCCAGACCAGGGAAAATTTCTAGAATATGAGGTTTAAAACAGACCAAGGGTGGCAGGAAAAGCCCTTCCCCCAGCATGTCCCACAAGCATTCCAGGTCCACATAACAGACTGGTGATTAAGCCCACAGGCAAAATTTTGGTCGACAATATCCACCATGAATTAATGCTGATAATGATAAATATATTGGGGAACTGTGACCTGTCACTAATAAGCATGAAAGAAGGGAATTCCATAATGATCCAGCTATAGCATATGGGGCAGGAGCGTCATTAGTTATATTACTTGATTTGGCTCATTTGGATAATAAACTCAGGGTCTTGGCCCAACAAGTGAAGCAAGCCTTGGAAGGAATTAAAGGAGGACAACCGACAGGAGACAACAGGACAATTGACAGGGAACCAGCTAGCCACCTCCTAATGACCATATTAAAAAATAGTGAGAAAATCATCAATCAGATCATCCAGGGTAAAATCATGGATGATAGCGGGCAGCAAAATTGCACCCTGTGTAGCAACCATGGGAACTGGATAGTTGAGCAACTGAGGGAGGATCTCAGACAGGCTAGCCAAGGTAAAGTATTATCCTGGATCAGCCATGAACATCTGTTCCAGAAAAGTGGACATGCCAACACTATCATGAACAAATGCATCTTTGAAAGGTAGATTGGAGAGGATGAGATCAAGTAGGGTTTCCTCTTCTTGGTTCCTTCACGACCTGCAGCCCCAAACCAATGAATAGATCCCAGGGACAAGCAAATTCCACCATTTGATGGAATCAAAATCCAAACTGTAGAGAATGGACACAAAAACAGAAATTGCTGGAAAAGCTCAGCAGGTTTGGCAGCATCTGTGGAGAGAAATTGGCGTCACTGGACCTGAAATGTTAACTCTGAGTTCTATCCACGGATCTGCCAGACTTGTTGAGCTTTTCCAGCAATTTGTTTTTGTTTCTGAATTACAGCATCCACAGTTCTTTCATTTTTTATTTTAAAGAATTAAATTCTGCATACCTGTTCATTTTTTCAGATCTCTGTCAGTACTGGGAGCAGGACCAAGGCAGCTGCCACTTAGCCTTGAGTCAACTCGGACTCAGTTGCTATCAGTCATAACATCAAAAAGGTACATTTTGCTGCAGGTGCAGAGGTAGTTTGATGCAGGGAGTGGAGGTGGTAGCAGTGGAAACTGTGTTTCAGCTACCTGAAGTGAATTTGTCTTAGTTTTTTGAACGTTACCAAATTATTATTTTTTTGAATTAGAGCAGCAAACTACAACCAAGATGAAATGCAAAAATATCATACTAGTTCTTGTTTGGAGCAGCAGGAGCGCGAGCCAGGGTGCTGATGGGAAGGTAAGGTTTTTTTTTCCGTATAAAAACTTAATTTGTGCAGCAGGGTCCTTCTTGTTTAGAGCAGCAGGTGCGTGAGCCAGGGTGCTGACGGGAAGGTAAGGTTAGGTTTTTTTTTCCGTACAAAAACTTACCTCATGCAGCAGCGGCCTTTTTGCTTTCAGCGGCAGGTATGTGGAGAGAACGCGAGCCAGGAAGGAACAAATATATTCGGGCATTAGCTAAACCCGAAACACTACACGTGTAGTGTCTCCCACCCATCCTCCTCCTCTAACCAAAAAAAAAGACTGTGCGGAGGGCCGGTAAGGTAAGGTTTTTTTTAACTTTTTTTATTCTTCTGGAAATTAGAGTAGAGGGAATGGAAGCTAGGGCAGTCGCACGCTTCTCTTGCAGGGTGTGGGAGGTAAGGGTCACTGCTGATGTCCCCTCTGACTTCACCTGCGAGAAGTGCACGCAACTCCAGCTTCTCACAAACCACGTTAAGGAACTGGAGCTGGAGCTGGATGAACTCTGGATCATTCGGGAGGCTGAGGGGGTGATAGAGAGGAGTTATAGGGAGGTGGTCACACCCAAGGTACAGGAAAAAGGTAGATGGGTGACTGTCAGGAAGGGGAAAGGGAATAGGCAGACAGTGCAGGGTTCCCCTGTGGCCATTCCCCTCAATAATAAGTATACCGTTTTGGATGCTGTTGGGGGGGTGACCTACCAGGGGAAGGCCATAGCGGACAGGTCTCTGGCACTGAGCCTGGCCCTGTGGCACAGAAGGGAAGGGGGGAGAATAGGAGAGCAATTGTAGTGGGGGATTCAATAGTAAGAGGCACAGACAGGCGGTTCTGTGGACGCGAAAGAGATGAACGGATGGTATCAGAGATAGTAGGAACTGCAGATACTGGAGAATCTGAGATAACAAGGTGTAGAGGTGGATGAACACAGCAGGCCAAGCAGCATCATAGGACAGGAAGGCTGACATTTCGGGCCTAGACCCTTCATCAGAAATGGGGGAGGGGAAGGGGGTTCTGAAATAAATAGGGAGCGAGCGGGAGGCGGATAGAAGATGGATAGAGGAGAAGATAGGTGGAGAGGAAACAGACAGGTCAAAGAGGCGGGGATGGAGCCAGTAAAGGTGAGTGCAGGTGGGGAGGTAGGGAGGAGACAGGTCAGTCCAGGGAAGACGGACAGGTCAAGGGGGCGGGATGAGGTTAGTTGGTAGGAGATGGGGGTGTGGCTTGAGGTGGTAGGAGGGGATAGGTGAGAGGAAGAACAGGTTAGGGAGGCGGGGACGAGCTGGGCTGGTTTTGGGAGGGGAGATTTTGAATCTTGTGAAATCCACATTGATACCGTTGGGCTGCAGGGTTCCCAAGTGGAATATGAGTTGCTGTTCCTGCAACCTTCAGGTGGCATCGTTGTGGCACTGCAGGAGGCCCAGGATGGACATGTCGTCTGAGGAATGGAAGGGGGAGTTGAAATGGTTCGCGACTGGGAGGTGCAGTTATTTATTGCGAACCGAGTATAGGTGTTCTGCAAAGCGGTCCCCAAGCCTCCGCTTGGTTTCCCCGATGTAGAGGAGGCCACAACAGGTACAGCGGATGCAGTATACCACATTAGCAGATGTGCAGGTGAACATCCGCTTGATGTGGAAAGTCTTCTTGGGGCCTGGGATGGGGGTGAGGGAGGAGGTATGGGGGCAGGTGTAGCACTTCCTGTGGTTGCAGGGAAAAGTGCCGGGTGCGGTGGGGCTGGAGGGGAGTGTGGAGCAGACAAGGGAGTCACAGAGAGAGTGGTCCCTCCGGAAAGCAGATAAGGGTGGGGAGG